CATTTGATAAAAAATTATTTACATAAAATTTGAAGGACTATTAGTATAATTGTTGCAAATATTTTTTGACTCAACTATTAGAAAAATGACACATAGGATTTTATCCTATGTGGCATCTTTAGAATTCTTTTTTATTTTCTCTTTCTGGTTTCTCTCTTAGTATAATATATACTATAGATACTATAGACTATAGATGATATATCTCTAAAAAAATATTATCTACAATTTCATTAATTATTTTCAAATTTTAAAAAAACATTAATATTGTCTCATGATCAAACCAATATGTAATGATATTATTCAAGCCAATTGAAAAATCTTTTCAAAACAATCAGTGTTATTGTTGAATTAAAGAATCAATGATGATTTTGTATTTATTATTTTCAAATTTCAAAAAAACATTAATATTGTTTAATGATCAAACCAATATTAATAGCATAACTCAAGTCCATCAAAATTTTTTTTCCAATCAATCAACTTTAATGTTGAATTAAAGAATTTCTGATGATTTTGTATTTATTATTTTCAAATTTCCAATGATTATTAATATTGTTTTATGATCAAATCAAGACTTAATACCATTATCTAAGCCATGGGCACATCTTTTTCAAATCAATCTTATTTAATATTGAGATTTTAAAAATTTCTTGTTTTCTTTTTCATTTTAGGGAATGCAAAATAGAAAGTTTACTACACAATTAATTGATATACTTCAATTAAGAATTGATAATAATTTATTAACTGAAAATTCAAAGGACTGTTTATGTAATTGTTATAAACATTTTTAGTGTCAACCTATAAGAAAATGACACATAGGATTTTGTCCTATATGTCAACGGGGGGAGAAGTTTGATTTCCTCTCTCCGGTTTCTCTCTTAGTATAATACTATAGATTGAGAGCAAAAGAAGATTAACTTCCTATATTACCCTCACTTACAATTTTAAGAAAATTTATTGTTTTCCACAATTTTCTCCATGTTTTCTCGGCCATTTCTTCTTCAATGCGAGGACGAGATTCTGGGACACTATTCTTCCAAAGAACACCTTCTTAAACTCTATCTTTTAACGAATCCAATGTTTCATTTTTTGACTGGTGACAACCGATTTATACGCTCATCATCCCTTGTGTGTCGAGATAAGTTTTTCTGGGCAATTGCCTTGTTTAATAGGTAATGGTGTCTTGAAATTCATGACCATAGCCTGCCCAAACAGCTGCACTAATTTTGTTTAAAATACAAGGTTTTTTTTTCTTTGCTTGATGGAAGTTTAATCCACCAAAGAAAATGGAAGACAGAAGAGATCGGAAAAGGGTACATGTAAAAAATAAAAAATAAAAAGAGGCCGGAAAGAAAGATGGAAGCCAGAGGTTGGTGGAGAGGAGGAAACTACGTTTCATTTGATCAAGAATTCTAAAAACATAAAATGTAAAAATTTAATCAAATGCTAGGATAACTGAACTTTTGTTTGTAATTTGACTTTTTTGGCTGTTTATTTTGAATTTGGGATTGCTCACAAAAAGAAAGATATAGAAGAATGAATGAAGTGTGAAGATTGCCTTTTTTTTTTTTTGAAGGAACCTAATAAGTATGAAGATTAAAATTGGTTTAATCTCTTTGACTGAATGCAATCATTTGGTTGTAAAATCATTTTTGCAGTAAATAGTTAAATTGTGATAAAGATTAATGTTGCAAAGAAGGCCAGATTAAGGAAAGAATGGAGAAAATTAATGGGACAGAAAGATGGTAAATTCTTAATAAATACTCCCTCCGTCCAATAATTATTATCCACTCTGCCAAAAAAAATTTATTCCATAATTATTATCCGATTTGACTTTTTATGAATTAAATTACACATTTATCCTTTAGCAATGGTGTGGGAAGATCCAAAGACCCACCTTATGCCATTCACGGCGGTAATTGGATAAATGTATGAAGATGGCTATAGAATTCTGAGATCAGAACACAGGGGAGAAATTTTTCCTGAGAAGAACGACAAGGAGAATAGAGCTTATATATCAAAGGGGAATTTGGGATGGTATCCCCACCGGCTCCGCCACTTAGTTGAGAAACAACCTCACTAGTTAAATAGCACAAACACTCTGTCGATCCATCTGGGTCCTCCACCAACAACTCCTCTCATGTTGAAACTGGCTAGAGCCGTCACAGCCGCCGGTGAGCCGTTGGTGGCGGAAGCAGCACAATTGACATTATTGACTTTGGTGTTGGCCGCCGTCCGGTCGAATTGGTAAACGCTTCGAACAACCATTCGATCTGGGTTGGAGCTAACTCTGTGATTGAGTTAGACTTGGCGGCGATTGAGTCGTGGCAATTAGAGAAGTCTCGACAACCACAATAATTTTGGCGACGGTTAACTCTATGGCAGTTGGAGAAGTTGTGACTTGAGAGCACCTGAATCTATTAATTCCGACGAAGAAGAAGAACGAGAGGTTGAATTATTCTATATTTCTTCAATTGTTGTTATTTAGTTTTGATTGAATACACTGATTGGGGTTGGGGAAAATCGGTGAAAAGCCTGCTCCCGTCATCATCTTCTATCAACATCTTCTATCAGCGGGAGATGGGCGCCGGAGTTTTGTCGGTTAAATAGAGGTATATTTGGTTGTTTAATCTAAAATATAGTTAAATTTGACCAAAAATAAAATTTTTCATCTTAGTTAAAGTGGACAATAATTATAAGATGGAGGGAGTATAAGTGAAGTTGTGAGGGTAATATAGGTAGTTGATAAAATTTAACTCTCAATACTAAAAAACTGCTTTCAATTTATCAATACCTTTTTATTTTTCGTACAATTCGAATAGAAAAAAATTTATACTGCACAATTATTTTAGAAATGACATAAGAAGGGAAAAAAATGTATAATGCAAAACGAGTCAGTTTCGTCCTGTTTACATCATGCGTGTCGCAACTGTTACAGATTATTCCCCTCTCAGAATAATGGTAATGCAAACCCTTCACCAATTACTTTGTGTGATCTATAGGATCTATAGGGTGGAACATTTTTTAAAAGGAACTGTATATAGCTATACTCAATTCTTCTTAGTTAAAATCAATGTACGTAATTAATGGACTTGTTAATTATTCGAGTGGTAATTTCATTCTCGAATCAGTCAATATTATTGATTCACTTTCAATTCGTATTTCCTTCGGTTAATCAAAGAACAAAAGATAATTGAAAAGGGACTGTTTAATTAAATGTCCGTACAACCTTAACTTAATTAAATGAGAATATGATAACTTGGCTAGTAAGTTATGAGTTCATTCGGATAAATTCATGTCGATCGCACTCAAAAAGATATAATCAGCCGCAATTTTTCCTATCTACCAAAGACTTTAATTTAACTGTATGGAATTTGGATTCCACGTTATCTCTCCCCCAATTATTTTATAACCATCAAATTTGTATACACGCGGAGAGGCAGCTGGTAATTTATTAATTAAATTTGATCGCGAAGCCAATACCAAACGTCAGGAAGATTTACTATCCAAGTGTTACATTCCATTACAAAATATTTGTATCTTCACAAAATAATGACTTTAGTAGCTTCTAGATCATTTCATGGCTCTTCATGTTTTGAGTTTTCATTCGATTTGACTATGAAAAGAGATTATTTTAATTATCTTGGCTGAGTTGTATAGTTTTATTCTCTAAAAAGATCCGTTACCTAAGTTTACAGTCAATAATTACTCTTAATTCTTGTCCAAAGAAACTGATATGCAAGTTTAATGCCACAAAGTTAATTATTATTGAATATTTTATCCAAAAACATAACATAAATACTAAAGCCATATAAACGACAGAGCTGAGAGATGATTTGCATAATTTTTTCTATCTGAAACGTTATGCGCTAGTTATAATAAAGGTCCTGCTAGCTAGCTTTTAGAAAATTTCAGAGTAATAAAAGTAGTAGAATGTAAGAGTGCACGTAATTAATGAATGAGAAGAAAATTAAACCTTGAAATAAAAAACATGTTAAGAAAATTAATACCACACCGCATTTACCACCAGCAGACGTTAATCAGTATAGAGATTAGTGATTACTACATTGGTCAATGACTTGATATTTTCAACAATAACTACACGAATAACGCTCTATATATACATGTTGATCTAATATAATTAAGATATGTTGTGTATCACACAAGTTAATTAGGATCTTTCCCTACTGCTTGAATTAGCTTCTTAAAATTAATTTATTTCGGCAAGTATGTACAAGGAGAATGATTCCTTTCCCTTGAGGAGGAGAAGGGGGAGGGGGAAGTTATTCTTTCTCAGTTTGATGGAAACAATTTTTCACCTTAAACATGTGCATGACAAAACGCAATCAAGAATATTATATATATCGACCCGGAACCAAAATATGGCAAATTAAGTTAAAAAATCAATAAGTTAGTCATTTTTAACACCAAAAAAGGAATTCATTACATTCTGGATGCTGCCAAATGGCCTCACGAACACAACATATAGAAAGAAAACACCAAAAAAGGAAAGCCATAAAAAATGAACCAAAAAAAAAAAAGAATTCATTAAATTCTGGATGCTGCCAAATGGCCTCAGGACACAACATATGGAGAATATAATTTTTGATTTAGCTTATTACAAATTGTTATAATTACTTATTCAATTTGGACCTTTCCCAAATATTTTGTTACCAATAATTTAATAAGGGTCATCCGTAACAGCCGAAATCATGTTAGAATTGGTAAGTAACCTAAATTCGCTATTGGAGACTACAATTTGGGTGGATCCACGTAGGGACACAAATGCTGACTCGTCGTATAAATTTTTTTGTTTTTCAACAAGTTTGAGACTCGGAGTTGGTTGGGTTAAGTAATCAATATTTTTGGATTACATAATGTTAACGTGGCGTATAATCCTACCGTTCTATGTAGCTGTATCAACCCAAGGAAAATCTGAAAACGGACCCAATTTTCGTATATAAATTAAGCAATATCACTGCATGCAGATTAGCAAATGTGTAGTTAGTTGTAAAACCGATAAACCCCTCAACTTCTTTCATTACAAAACGGTCAATTTTTACGCCTTCTTCTCACCACCTTTACCTCCCCTTATAATTAAGCTTCTCATTCTCAACCAATTCAAATCCAACAGTCCAAGACAATTTCATAAGAACCAAGTTTTGATTTAGTTCTATCTCATTCATCATCGTCAAATATGTCCGTTATTTCCGAGCTTCAAGGGACCCTCATTAGGGATCCCGATCCATTTTCGTATTTCATGTTAGTAGCATTTGAAGCATCCGGCATTTTTCGGTTTGCTTTGTTACTTGTATTATGGCCGGTCATACGTTTGTTGGAGTTGTCGGGGCAAAAAGACGCCGCCTTGAAGTTGATGATCTTTGTCGCCACGGCCGGAGTTCCTATATCGGAAATCGAAGCCGTGGCTAGGGCTGTTTTGCCGAAATTTTACTTTGATGACATTGATATGGAAGCTTGGAAAGTGTTTAATTCATATGATAAGAGAATAGTCTTGACTAAAACGCCTAGGATTATGGTGGAGAGATTCGTGAAGGAGCATTTACGAGCTGATGAGGTTATTGGGAGTGAACTTTCGGTCAACCGGTTTGGATTGGCTACAGGTTTTGTGAATGGTGATTTTGACACCATTCCTGAGCGAGTTGCTCGATTACTTGGGGATGATCACAGAGCTAGCTTAGGTCTTGGGAGGCCGGATTCCGATGGCTCTTTGTTCTTACACTCATGCAAGGTTCGTTTTTATTCATTGATCTCCTATTCTTGAAATAATTTTTTTTTAAAAAGAGTTATCGGTGAAAAATTAAATCAAACGTTTATTTTTCTTTCTTCCTCAATTTGATGTTTCTTACTTCCTTCGTACCGAAATTATTATCCAGTTTGAATTTTTATTTTTAATTCAAATTATACTAAAAATAAAAATCTAAATGGAACAGCAATTTTAGGATGGAAGGAGTATTTGCTAGATGAAATTTGGACTGATGGTTATATTAACATATGACAGATGAGCTACATTAGAGTTGTTATTTTATTCATGATGAATTTTGACAATGAAACCCCAAGCATATTGCTTCAGATATTTGATTTACTAATTACTAATATAAAAAATAAAGTCAACTTTTAGTATTTTTGTTAGTCAAACTGTTTAACATGTTATGAAATTTTGCACGTAATCCAGGAAACATGCAATCCACCATTCACCACCAGCGACGACAGAAAGCAGAAGCTCGACAACCAATTCCTACGGCCATTGCCGGTGATCTTCCACGACGGCCGGCTGGCGATGCGGCCGACGCCATCAAACGCTTTGCTGATCCTCTTGTGGACCCCAATCGGAATCTTGCTGGCAATCATTCGGATAGCTATCGGATTAATGGTTCCCATGTGGGCTCTTCCACGTATAGCTCCATTGTTCGGAGGTAAAGTCATCGTCCGAGGAAAACCGCCGCCGCCACCCTCCGGATCCAACTCCGGCGTCTTATTCGTATGCACCCACCGTACACTAATGGACCCCGTCGTCCTCTCCGCCGTCCTCCAGCGCAGAATCCCCGCCGTAACATACTCCATTTCACGTCTGAGTGAGATTCTGTCGCCGATCCCGACCGTCCGATTAACTCGGATCCGAGACATAGATGCCGCTAAGATCAAACAACAACTTGAAGTCGGAGATCTGGTGGTTTGTCCGGAAGGCACAACCTGTAGGGAACCCTTTTTGTTAAGATTCAGCAAGCTTTTCGCGGAGCTGACGGATCGGATTGTTCCGGTGGCCATGAATTACCGGGTCGGCTTTTTCCATGCGACCACGGCCCGGGGATGGAAAGGTTTGGACCCGATATTTTTCTTCATGAACCCGAGACCGATTTATGAGGTGACGTTTTTGAATCAGCTGCCGGTGGAAGCCACGTGTTCGTCGGGGAAAAGCCCGCATGACGTGGCTAATTATGTCCAGCGGATCTTGGCGGCGACGCTTGGGTTCGAATGTACGAATTTTACCCGAAGGGATAAATACCGGGTTCTCGCCGGGAATGATGGGACGGTTACGCAAACTTCCGGCGCGGAAAGAGTTGGGAAATTGGTCAACGGAGTCAAGCAGGTGGTGGGCGCATTCAAGCCTTTTATTATTCACTAGAGAGAATCGAAGAAAATTGAACACAAAAAAAAAAAAAAACTGATACTAATACATTCGCTGCTTCAAATGTTCTTTCATATTTATTTTAGTTTTTTTTCCTTTGGGTTCAGAAATATTATTATTTCTTTGGGTTGAGTAGTATGCAACTATGCATGGATGTATTCTTTACTCCTTTTTTTGGGATTTTTTTTCTTCCTGATAAATAATTTTTTCTTTTTTGTACTTAAATTTGTTGGACTGAAGTGTTTAATAACATTTGAGCTGTAATTAGAATATTTTTGATCAGTACCATACATCATTTTATTTAACTAATGACGTTTAGTTGAATGCGGTACTGATTTTCATGTAATCTCGAATGTATCGAATTTCTAAGTCCGTTAATTAGAATTTGGAACAAAAATCCAGCAAACATGCATATATTGCATGTCCACTTTTTGCTTCTAATATTTCGACAAGAGATTACGTTGTCTCTACAGTTTAAGGGGAAAAAAGAAGAGGACATTTTAGTGATATCATTAATTTAATAGGAGTAGTATCGTTTGCAATCAAGGGAAAAGATACGGCAATGATGGTGATTCTTGTTTTACTTTGTTACCTACGTTAGTGTTAGGTATTTTGATCCCTCTACACACAAATTGCTAAAAGCTTATTCACTGAACAACACATGCAGCAAAATTAAAGTAAACAAAAGCAAACACAACAAGAAGCATAACACAAAATTACGTGGTTCGATCTCTCATAGATCTACGTCTATGGGACACTTTCATTCACTAGTATAAGAATAGAAGAGTTTACAAAGATATAACCTCTCTCAATACACTATGTCTCTCTCTCTCTATATTCTACCCTTACACTCTCACAAAATATTTCCCATTACTCACTATATGCGCTCCGGAGAAGAAGATGCACATCACTACAAAGAAGTAGAAACTAGGAGAGGATCTCCATTCACTTAATCCTAACTCTACCCCTCTCACTCAAGAGCTCTCTCTCAATTGAGTGGTTACATTTTACCTCTTTTCTCCCCAATTAGGGTTAGTACAAAAGTTTACTATTTATACTAAAACCCTACATAAACTATTACAACCTTATTGGACTCTAGGCCCAATACTCACCATCATAGTTTGGGAATTTGAGGAGAAACCCAATAGTTAGAAACTCCCGTATTGTAGGAAGTTATGCCCCACGTTATGTGGAGGACCCTGCAATGGGTTACTTTGCTTCTCGGAGATCAACTGTGGACTAATTTGCTTGGTGAATCCAATGATCCGGGAGTATTTCAAACTCCCTACTACAAGCAACTCTTTCGAGTGGATGAGTTGGGTTTTGGTTTTGATCAAACTTGTAATGATTACAAGGTCACCAAGCTGTGGGGAAGTCGCATTATAATTCAGTATTATGAAGAAGAAGACCATGACTTCAACGATCTCATATCCATCAATGGTGCAGGTTCAGGAGTATTTTATAATGGTTTCTTTCATTGGTTTGAAGGTACCTTCAAAATTAGCTTCAGGCTAGCAGATTATCACATCCTCACGTTCTGATTTCCATAACGAAACATTTGGAAGGCTAGCACATCCTTACCCACGGTATCATGATCCTCTCGTTCGACGAATTCCATACTTACAATACTGGGTGATTCCCTGGCTTGTTTTGGCAGGCAATAATGTAACAGGGCTACTTATTTTGAGGTGTGGGTGATGAAGGGAATATGGGAAGGCCAGGAGTCATGGACAAAAACATGTTCTGTTTGAACTATCTCCACAGGTTTCGTTAGGCGGATGGCAACAGTTGACTTGTTGGAATGTCAATGATCTTATAAGTGTACCTTATGGGCGCCACTTACAACAACAACAACAAATTAAGAGATTTATCATTGATGGCCAACTCCTCAGCGATCAAAATCTAATTCCCAGAGCTGTCGCATTTGAGCCTTGTTTGGTTTCTCTCGGCAGGACAAGAAATTAAATTCTAGTTACGAGGAATTAACTTACTTTTAATAAAGTCATTCGTCATATCATACGAGTTGTTTACTTGTTCATTTTATACTCCTAAATAACCAAATAGCGTGTGGGTAGCTTTCTTGTTCTAATACCAAGGCATTCAACTATACTATTACGTCCAGCTCTGGACATCCCAGTTGCCACAGTTGTGGAAACCCGAATGGGCAAAATCAAAACTATACTAGTATTATTAATATTATTATCATTTGCATCACTTGTAACGTATTTTAGTGGCAACACTTGTAACGTATTTAGAAATGCACGTATTGTTTCTTAAAAAAAAAAAAAAACTTGTAAAGTATTTAAGTGGCATTATACTTCACAATGAGCATGCATACATAGCTTTGACATGGAGAGAACCTCACACGAAGACGCCCATCAATACTCCAAATTTGCTGCTCAATTAATTATTTGACCTAATTCGGGACAATTTTTAAGCTTCACCTTTTTTTTTAAAAAAAAAAGCATAAAAAAATTCACCGCTCTTAAATGTGGGTAAAACCCCCCTTACATACCCCTTGGTGGTAATTAAATCCATGTCTAATACCAGAAAAGTTTAAATAAAAAGATAAAGTAAAAGGTCAAAAGAAGTTTTGAAAAGTTTTACCAAATCAATGCGAGGTTGAGTACTTTGATTTAAAAAGCAAATCGAGACTATTTGGCATCTTTGGTGGGAGTGAATTCGGGAGGTTTGGTCCGGCTAGATTCACAACCACCAGGAGCTCATATCCTCCTTCGAATGCTGAAATTTACTGGTGAAAAAGAAAAGCAAGACATAGAAAAAGGTCAAAAGAAGTTCAGAAAAGTTCAAAATATAAAGACAAAAAAAGGTCAAAAGAAGTTCTACAAAGTTTTACCAAATCAATGCGACGTTGAATACTTTGATTAAGAAAGCAAATCAAGACTATATGGCATCTCTAGCAGGAGCAAATTTAGGAGGTTTGATTCGACTGGGTCCGCCACCGCCAAGAGCTCATATCCCCTAGATATGTAGTTGTGTAAAGTGTAAACGGGTTGTTGATATCCCCTTCGAATCAAAAAAATAAAAAAAGAAAGCAAATCGAGATGAAAGTGTAGGGAGTAAGGGAATCAAAGGAAGGGCAAATTAGGGTGAGACGAAAGGCTGTTGACCTTTAATTTGGTTGATATCTATATACTATACATTTCGTGAAAGGATTTTATCGATCCGAACCCTATTGCTATTTGGCAAATGCATGTGCTCCACTATGTTTCAGTATCACCTTTTCATCGATCCTCTGCCAATTGCGAGCACATGGGTCTGGTTAACACTTAGGTCAATCTCCACCGCAAGTCTAGCAAACCTCCCCTTATTTTGGCTGCTTCAGGTGATCTATATATGGATGACCTTCGCCAATTCTGTTGCAGGAAATAGTATTTGTTATATTAGTCGATCGGATGCAAGGCTGGGTACTTTTGCCCTAACTAGCATAGAGCTAACCAATTAAATGGGCTTTACTAGCGTATTTTGAAAGTTAGAACATTTTTTTTAAGGCAGGACGAATAATTTATGATATGATTATGGATGAGCCATTAAGTATCACACCTAACTATGATGAGCATTACATTAATCTTGATCATAAATTTGGTGGATGTCAAGAATGATAGAATATTAAAGCCAAAGGACGATTCGCATCAAACCAAATTTAAGTCGACAATAAATTCGACTAGGTGTCGTAGAGTCTCTGGTCGAGATGAAGAAGCCAACGACAAAGTCGACAAAACCTGCCGAGAAGCTTATCGGTCGACGAATAAGGCGACAGAGTTATGGCAAATTTTGCTGGTTTTCTTAGTTCAACTGGGGAAAGAATTTTTCCATAATTTTCATAATTGGATGAATCTTTAAGCCATTTATGAAGTTATAGTTGGTTCTAATAATAAATACATGTGTAATTATTTAATTATTTGGTAATTTTAAAGGTTTAGAAAATTTTAAAAAATTTAGTCCAAAAAATCTGAATAAAGAGCTGTAATTGGATTTCTCTTCCTCCTAGCCAATTTAGGCCATCCCTTGGCTTATAAATAGAGGTCATAGGTGTGGCTTTTCATGTGTGACTTCAATTATAAAGATTCTTATTCATAAACTTGTGAGATTTCTCATTGTTTTTCTTATTCTTGCAAGAATAACTTGTTTTTCAACAAACTAGGGTTTGTTCTTAAGAGTAGCTAATCTTGGCCAAGTTTTCACGTGTTCTTGGTCTATGAATGCTTTATCCCTTTTACTCTATTAAAGCAGAAAACATGAAGCTTATGTGTCAACTAAGTATGCATCTGTTTTGGCTCGAATGCACCATATTTCAGATTTCAAAAGTCTTTTTGCCACGTGTAAGTCTCTTTTAATTAGAACCTATATAATTTTTTTTTTTTAAAAAAACACATGTTTTAGATGTAACCCGAGTCCAATGAAAAAATTCTACAAATAAGGATCAGTTACATTTCAAACGAATGTATATATTAATTCAATTGAAATGTCCAATCGTACAGTTTTGCAGGCTTAATATAAACTAAAAAATAAAAATACCTAAATCCAGCAATTAAGAATAATGCCTTATAAACTAATTATTTATTATTCCCTTATAACTTCAAATTTATAGGTATAATTTTTTAAGCCTCAAACCATAGCATAAATGATATATACGTCAAATTAATTCTTCAAAAAATAGTAATTCAATTAGATTTTAATAAAATAGTAATTTAGAGGCAGCGCCCAGGCAGATGCCTAGGCCAAGCATCTAGTTTGATATTGTAGTCGAGCACACCAAGCCTTTCAATGTTGATCGCTAATGTGTGGGGAGTTTCCAATTTTTTTACTATGGTTTCAAATTTTAAATACCTCTCCATATGTTCTTCCTTTCCATCGCATTTTTGGCTTTGGATTTTTGTTGGTCCTATCGTTTCTTTCCTGAGTTGTGTGTTCTAATAGGATTTTCTTACGAGGTTAAAAAGATTCAAACATCCCAATAACTTTTCAAGTCAAACTTCGGAAATAAAGTCTCGCATAAAAGATTCATATAAATTTAACTTTTAAATACGGATGATCAACAAATTACGTATTCACATGATTTTTCTCCTTTACAATTAATGGGTGTATTATTATTAAGAGAAAGTAAAGGTGATGACTTAAACTTTAGCCTTACTTAGATTATTTTATCTTGACACTAAAACTAAATATTATGTCTTGATATAATTCAGTCTGGTCATATTGTTCTTTCATACTCGCTCTTAATAGCAGTTGTTTACCTTACTATGCAATTTAGTTATACGTAATGTAATGTGTAATGCCTCTAAATAGTTTATCCCCCCAATTTCTAATAGTTGTTTAGTTTGAACGTACATTGTTAGTAAAAGTTATACTAAAATTAAAATCCAAAACAAGATGTTAAATTTTGGGAGACATTGAGTAATTCCTTTCCAATCTTACTTGTATGCGTTACATATAATATGGTGTTTTATAATGAAATTCAGAATTTTTTTAAAATATTATAGAAATAAATAAACTCATATCAAATTTTGTAAAATTATTTAAGTAAATAACTTAACAAGTTTCTAAAAGGAGTTGTTTTCACAGAACCTCACCATACATGTATAAGAGGTATATGTGATTATGTCAAATTTATGATAAATTTGTTTCGAAAAATGGGCAAATGGTGAATGGTGATGAGGAGGGAAAAAAACAAGAAGAAAATAGTAAAAATGAAGTTGAGCTTAGGAGTAAACTAAATTTTGTCTATTTAATTCACACAATCACACACCCACACTATATACGCAAAGGAGATCCGACATTACCCCCACACCACACCGTCTCTCTCAATTTAGAGGTATCCTTTCTCTTTCATCTCTCTCACTAAATCATTCATTATTGTTTGGGGCCAAAACTCATTTTCTTGAATGTGTTATTGTATGGCGGATCCAAGATTTCATATTCATATGTGCTTAATTATAATTAAAAAAATCTATAAGTTAATACTCTCGTTATCTCTACATATAATTATTTGATAGATTTATTATTTGATTGATAAATTAGTAATTAAAAAATTAATAACTTATAAATTTAGGGAAAAGTTGAAAATATAACTTTTAATTTCTAAGAACTAGGAGAAAAAAGTCGAGTTTGGATTATATGAATTTAATTTTGAACTTATCGCCCTATATACCTATTTCAAGAAAAAAAAAACTATCTTCATATTTACATTTTAATAAATTTTTCTAAATTTTTATTCTTATCCTGTGTAATTACTATAATTAATTTTATTGAGAGGACCAATATTTATATAGAGGTTTTATGAAAAGAATTAGTATCTCATTATTTTATCGATTATTTTTACTTTTTGTATTGATCCTGGCTTAATACTATAAAACATAATTAATTTACAGATTATTAATTTATAGAGTTTATTGTATATGGACAGGGTATTTTTATTTATTTTTTTTACATGTAGGGGAAAATCATGCAACCTGTTTCACACACATAACGAAATTATCCCCTTTTTGTGTAGCCGGAAGACTTAATTAGGGAGATATTGTCTAGAATGCCAGTAAAATCCTTGTTGAGGCAAGAACGCATCTACAAAGGTGGCTCGCTACAATCAGAAGATCTGATTTCGGCTTTTTACACAACCAACATGCCAGCTACAAGTGTTTATTAATTAGAAGAAGTATTCCTAAGGCAACTAGATAGTA